ATTCACTGTCTTGGAAAAGCAATGGAAAAAATATCCTCCGGTAAGGATTAAAAAACAACAACAACAAAAAACAAAATAGGAAGATGACTTTGGTACAATCCACAGAGCTTATCAAATTTTACCAGTTACATGCACTCCTGTGTGTGTGTGTGTGTGTGTGTGTGTGTATAGATCGACGTAATTCTACCACCTGAGGAGATTCATGGCCCAGCAGTTTGGTCTCTTATGGTTGCTATGCTCTTTCAAAATCTAGTAATGAAAACAATATAGGGTGTCCCAAAAAATGTATATACACACTAGGAATAATTATAAAAGATAGTCCTTACTAAAATATATTTCATTTTCAAAACTGAGCTATCAGATGTTAAAGTGTGTATATATTTTTGGGGGACATCCTGTATTTATAGTAAGAATCTGCTTTAATCTTGGCTATAATTCTGTTATCTTCATCTTTAGTTTAACAGACAGAAAACAGGATTTATAGCACATAGCATATAATAGTACAGGGTGGGGCAAAAGTAGGTTTACAGCTGTATGTGAAACACAGCATTTTTTTCTTGTATTATTAATTCTTGTATTATTTTCCATGCGAACAACTGTAAACCTACTTTTGCCACACCCTGTATTTAGATTGATAAATTTGGATGTAATATCCCAAAACACCATAACATTTTACAAAAACAAGTGTCAGTCTTTATTCTAACTGAGACATGTATAAAAGATCCCTGGTAGAGAGCAAAACAGCTCTTCTCTCTAGGTCTATACCTGCTATCCGAGTGAGCAGCAGCAGGCTAATGGATGTATTGGCCCTGTGCAATTTGTTAAGATAATTATCTCTAGCAAGAAACACTGATTTTTAAAGATTTATAAAAAAAATAGACGTTCAAAGTGTAGGTGGCTTTATAAAACAGCATCATTTAACATTTTGATTATAAAATATATTCACTTTGGTTTTGACTCAGAACATACAAAGCTGGAGAAATAGTATTTGCCCTTTGATGTAGCTAGGGAAGCAGTTACACTAAATACTGGTATTTTTTTTGCTTGTTGCTGGAGGATGTGTGTTTTTAACTAGAGTGGTTGTCCAATGAAGAATTTAAAATTTTGAAAAAATAGTAATTAAACTCAAATTCAGGGATGAATTCCATTCACAAGAGCATTCAGATTCAAAGTAGGGTAATTTTTCTCAAAATGAAGGCCACAACAAACCTCTGTGAGGAAAGCAAGAGACAAAAGCTACAAAGCTCAGTCCTTTTTGGAACCTGATGTCACACTGATACTAGGCATCAGAATACACAGTCACACCAGCATCTTTTTTCCAATTACCCATCTCCCATCCACCTGCCCCCTGCTCCCACTCACTGCTTATAAAAGATCAGAAAGCAAGAATGAACCAGGTTATTTACAGAATCTGTGAAACAAAGAAAATATTACGCCTGCTCTTCCCAAAACAGGAAAATCACTATACTTTTGTTTTGTTTTTATGTGACAGAAACACAGAGAAGCCCCCAAGAGAATATACAAATGAGAAACTTGAGACTGATAATGTGTTAATTTAAATTATTTTAAAAAATTATCAGCACCCAAGATGGGAAAGTTGGAACATTTTCCAGCTCTTCCTGAATCTAGTCTTACAAGTATAATTTTACTACTTTATTGCAAGTAATGTGAACTCTCTGCATTTCAGAAAATACAAATAAAATGTAAATATAAGAATATACTCCAAAATGACTTGTATACAATGTATTTTCTCCATTTGTTGGACAGCATACAGTTTATAACACAAATAGCCACATAGGGAAGAAGATGACAAGCTTACCCACCCCCTTAAGGTCTCTAAGGACCCAAGGTTGTATGTTGTCTCTCTGCTTTATATCTTGTTTATATCTTATACAAATGCTGCAATTTCACACAGAAATAGTTATTATATGCAAATAAGCTCACTCTGCTGTGGGTAGTCTTAGTCTTTTGACTATGCAACACTAACAACACTTTAGAATATAAAACTTCCACTAACAGTCAGTAAAGTCTAGGTGCTGTCCTTTGTAGATAAAAATGATACACTAATATATTATTATTATTAATCCATGTGTGGTTTCATTTCTGTTTTCAGTGGCAGTGATTATTTTACATTAAGCTCTGCCCAAGTTTTCTCTGAGATCAATAGAATCTTCTGAAATATAGCTCGTTGGGTTAGGGATGCAATTTGTGGTAAACCGAGACAACCCTTATAAGGTCTCATTAACTGATACTCTAAGGAAATGATTCACTGGCCACAGACAAAACAGAGCCAACAATCTTCACTGACTGTTGTCCTATAGAATATTAGTATGTGATATGCAATCCTTAAATCCTCAACAGATTCATTACCTAGTTGGACATTTCCTTCTGGTAAACATTAGCTACAGGATTTACATAATTTGAACTATCAGCAGTTTTACATCAGATGAATCACAGCAGGAACAGTAAAATCTGTTACATAATGAACAAACCTAAAACTCTAATGAAGTATGTTTATCCAGAAGGAAGGGAACACACACACACAGATGCTGTCATCATCAGTGAATTTCATCACATTCCTCAGAATGTACTAAAGCAGTATTATTTGCCCTGGACGGTTTGGCTCAGTGAGTGGTTAGAGCATCAGACCACGGACTGAAGGGCCTCAGGTTCGATTCCTGGTCAAGGACACGTGCCTGGGTTGCAGGTTCAATCCCTCGCCTGGTCGGGTTTGTGTGGGAGGCAACTAATCAATGTGTCTCACAACAATGTTTCTTTCTCTCCCCCCTTCCACAAATTCCCTTACACTCTCTCTTAAAAAAAAAAAATAATAATAATAATGGGAAAAAATATATATCCTCTGGTAAGGATTCAAAAAAAAAATAGTACTATTCTAGGGACCTCCCACAGTCATTTATAACACCCTCAAAACTACAATAAGTGATGAAAGAGCCCAGCCGGGCGTGGCTCAGCGGGTTAAGCGTTGACCTAGGATCCAGACGATCGGGGTTCGATTCCCGGCCAGGGCACATGCCCGGGTTGCGGGCTCGATCAATGACTCTCATCATTGATGTTTCCATCTCTCTCTCTCCCTCTCCTTTCATCTCTCTGAAATCAATAAAGATATATTTAAAAAATAAAAAATAAAAATAAGTGATGAAAGAGAATAATTAGCCCACAGAACTCACAAAGATGATTACCTGATAGTCTGGTTTTGTAAAATAATCCAAAGAGGAGATGTGGTCCAGAAAGATGCTGAATTCTGGAGGGAGATGTTTCAACATAAGCCTGTGGTCATACCTCTCCTTAATAGAGCCTACTTGTTCCTGGGAAGAAAAGAGAAATGGAACTAAAGTCAATTTATCTTGGCAGCCACACATTAAGAGCCTCTCAGTAACAGTCTCAAGGGTATGTACTGGGGAATGAAACTGTGGATAATTAAGTATAAAGCAAGAACTGAGCTCATACTAACAACTTAATGCATACTGCTTTAAAGTGGGGGTGGGAAAGAATGTAATGCAGAACCAAAGGGCAACACAGAGTTCTGCATCAGTGACTCCATAGCTCTCCCCCCAAAAGTTGATTTTAAATCTGGTCTATGTTTTGATATCAACACAGGTGTTTACAGTTTTCAAATCAAACAATATAACGTGACAATTAAAATGGAGTTTCACTGGCTTATAAAAAAGAAAAAGAGAACTAGTGAAAATAAAAACTAAGAGGGAGAACTAAAAATCAAATTAGAAGTGATAATGTACTGCCTGGTCGGCGTGGCTCACTAGTTGAACGTCAACCCGTGAACCTGGAGGTCACGGATTCGATTCCCGGTTGAGACACATGCCCGGGTTACAGGCTCAAATCCCAGTAGGGGGAGTGCAGGAGGCAGCCAATCAATGATTTTCTCTCATCATTGATGTTTCTCTCTCCCTCTCCCTTCCTCTCTCTGGAAATCAATAAAAACATATATTTTTTTTAAAGTGATAATGTACTTAAATTAGTATCTATTTCTATGTATATAGAAAAGTCATAAAATCAATTAGATCTCTAATATCAGTTTAGAGACACAAAATATACATACTGGGTGTGATATAGTGAAAATGCTTGTAAATTTTAATTCTTATACATAAATATATTCTCAACAAAAATGCCTACCAAGGAAGAATTTTTATTCTTTCCCCTACCCCAAATTGACATTTCCATTTCCAAAATTACCTTGTCCTTTATTTTTCTCCATGGCAGCTGGCCAACCACAAATTCCACTAACATGTAGAATAAGGACCAAAGGTCATCATGTCTTCCCATTTCCTTCATAAGCAAAACAAAATTCAGTCATATTATATTACCACTTTGTGAGTATATTACATTGTCTAACTACATAGCTATATAGCAATGTACATGGCAGAACAGATGTACTGAAGAACTTTTTGATACAAAGAATACCCCAAACCCAGAAATGCTGGAAATAATATAATTAACAGTCCATTAATTAATAAATGAATTCATTAAGAAGAGAAGGTAGTTGCTAAGTGCTGAGGGAAGGGGGAAGGGAAATTAGTGTTTAGTGGGTACAGAGTTTCAGTGTTGCAAAATAAAAAAGTTTTAGAAATTTGTTGCACAATAATGTGAATATACTTAACACCACATATTGTACACTTAAAAATGGTTAAGATGATAAGTTTAATGTTTGTTTTTTCACTAAACAAAAACTATTTTTAAGTAAAAAAATATGTTTTCTAATTTTCTATTCTTAGCATAAATTTTAATTCTTTCCAGTGGAACCGAAACCTCCTGAGCCCCTTCCAGTGTCATCCAAAACTTGAACTTTCTCTATTTCTGGATAAAAAAATCTGTTTACAAATGAGCTGTGCAATTTGGTCACCTTTTTTTACTTCAAACTTTTCTTTGCCAAAATTAAACAGTACAACATGAACATTTCCTCTATAATCTTCAGCTATTACACCATCCAACTCCTACATCTATGAAGTGTTTTGCAGCCAGGCGGGAACGTGGAGCTACTTACTCTTCCACAGCACCCAGAAAAAAGAGCTATCTGAAAGTCGGTGTTCACAAGGGTTTTCTCCATAAGTGGTACTGTGTAATCATAGGCACTGTACTGGTCATGGCACTTGGCCCAAGCGGACCGCTTGGCACAAGTGAAGCCGCAGGCTGCCCTCCTCCGCAGGCCAGGGCTGCTTGCTCAGGGAGACAGCGAGCGTCTTGGCACCAAGACATCTTTGGCTCAGGCTATGCCTCTGGCAGCACAGTGCTCCCCGTGGGGCAAGGCGGAGGGGCGGGGCTGGCCCAGGAGTCCTGCCTTCTCAGCCAAGTTTAATGTTATGTGTTTTTTCAATTTAAAAAGAAGTAAAGGAAATACTAAGAGTCAAAATTAAAAGAAAGCGCTCGTTTGACAAACCTAGCTGGTCTGACTCAATGGTTAGAACGCTGGCCAGCAGACTGACAAGTCTCAGTTGCAATTCCAGTCAAGGGCAGGTACCTCGATTGCAGGCTCCATCCCTGGCCTGGCGGGGGCATGTGCGAGAGGCAACCAATTGATGTGTCTCTCTCACATTGATGTTTCTCTCTCTCTCTCTCTCCCCCCCCTTTCTGAAAAGCAATGAAAAAAATATCATTGGGTGAGGATTTAAAAAAAAAAAAAGCAAGCTGAAAACGAGGAACCAGCTGATGCTGAATCTTCAGCTTTGACTGTTTTGGAGATATCTGTCATAGGTTTTATCAAGCAGGCAGGGGACAGGTGTAAATGCACTGAGCCTACACAAGACAGGAGTTGCAACTGAGCAACTTCCCCTACCACCACCATATATAGCTAGGACCCTCAAAGGGCTATCTTTAGTGCAACATTTCGTATGTATATTATACTGCAATATTTTTTTCTGTAGAATATAACCACTATCAAGGGATAGACTGAGTGGTTAAAAAAGAATTTTCCCTGAGAATTTGTTATCGCAGGCCTGCCCCTCACTCAGATCTGGGGTTTAAATTTATACCACTATTGTGGTCTGGGATACCAAGCCCAGGAATGAAGAATTTTCTGGGTGATTCTGTCCTGCATTGACAACAGATGCAAATGAAAATCTTCTCAAGATAAAAGCACCCTTAATTAAATTCAGGACTTCTATGAGACCCACCAAATATAAGCTCATTATGTGAAATTATAAAATACATTAGAAAGCAGGCTACCATAAGTTAATGACAAGAGAAAACATAAAGAATAGAATTAGATACTCAGAAATTTCAAAAATGGAATTACAGGATACAAAATATAAAATAAGAATGTTTAAACAAAAAATAAAACTAAAGTCATGAGAAAGGAACCATATTTTACCAAATAACTAAATAAATAAACCAATTAGATTTGAAAAAGGACCAAAAAAAAAATATCTAGAAATAAAAAGTACCATTGTAAAAATTAAAAACTCCAATGGACAAGTTAAAAAGCTGATCAACACAGCAAAAAAAGAATTAATGAATTGGAAGGCAGATCTAAAAAATTATCTAGAATGCAACAGGGACACAAAGAGAAAATCTGAGAGTGAACTTAAGAGGCATGGAGGACAGAACAAGAAGATGTAATATACACCAATTTTGAGGTATGAAAAAAGGTATAGAGAAAAAGGGAAAGGCAATATTTAAAAATATAACATCTGAGAATCTTCCAGAATCAATGAAAGACATGAATGTTCAGATTTAGGAAGCACAACTCCCAAACTGAATAAATATAAACAAATCCACACCTAGGGACATTTGAATGTATTTGCAGGACACTAAAGACAAAAAGGAAGATATCAAAAGTAGGCAAAGTAAAAAATTAAATACAAGGTAACAACAATTAAATAGACAATGATCTTCTCAATAGCAACCATAGAACCAGAAGAAAGCAAAGTAATTTCTTCAAAGCACTGAGATAAAACAAGTATTAACAAAGGATTAAAATGTGGGACAACAATAAGACAAAATGAACAGAGTTCAAATGTTCTAAAAAGTCCTTATTTTGTTTGGGAATTATTGATGTTAAAAGTTTAAGGTACCAAAAAAATAGAAATCAAGTGTATTATATTTAGAAATTACCAAATCAGGATTGCAGAGTATGGAAGATGTATATCAGAATTATCTGGGAAATCTTTTAAAATTAGGCAAGCACCTAAGGTGTCACTAGTTGCACCCCTGTGTCACCACATAAACTGACAATCATTGCTGTGAAGTGAGGTTACTGTGTAAAGCATTCTACTCCTGAGGTGTGTTGGGAGCCAAAATGAAGGGAACAAACCACTCTTATACACTATCAAATTCCTCTACCAAGGGCAGATGGGTAACAAATAGGCAGGTTAACAGAGTAACTTTTAGAGTACTCTATGCTGGAGAAGCTTTTAGAAGAAATCTCTACTCTTCAAGTTATATATATATATATATGATATGATTTATGATATATATGATATATATATCATATATATATGATTTCTAATAGCAACTTTGGAAATGCTTATAGAGCTATTATGATTTCTGAAAATGTTTATGCTTATCTCAAAAAGAGTGTCTTATTTCAAAGATCCAAAATTGACATAATTATTTAATAGAATTAATTACAAAGCCTAATCCTTATAAAATTTTGTAAGACTCTACCTGGAAAATAAGAGTACTTTCTTTTCAAGGCAGAATAACTGACTAGATGCCATAAAATGAAACAGCACTGAATCAAACCAAATGAGTTAAAATGCTTAGCAGAGTACTACTTACTCATGAAAATACTTTTCCTATTTTCAATTTATAATTACATCATAGGAAACCAAATTAACTGGGGCATAGCATATAAAACCTCAGTATACTCTTCCTATTATATTTAGCACTGGTCAAAGTTTCATTAAAGCAATTTTAGCTTCACAGAACAAAAATATGGTAACAAAAGATCAAGAAAAAATTTATCTTGATTTTATCAAGAAATCACTTGTTAAATTTCTCAATTCCATCTAAACAAGTTTAAGGATTGAGAATCCATAAAATACCCACCACAAAAGGATTAAAGTAAAAAAAGTGTGTGTGGGGGGTGCACTTAAAAATTTAACCTAAGAGAAAAGGTATATTTACTAAGAAGCTTTGAAGTCGTATGCATTTGAGATCTTCATGAAAACAAAATATTTGATGTTGAGAAGGGCTATCACAGATTAGATGCATATTATAGATAAAATTATTTCATTTCATTCCCTAATAACTTCTAGAAATAGAACACAAATGTTTTATTTCTTCAAAATCCTGTATTAAATTCATTAATACTTACTTATACCTATTAAAGATACAAGATTCCCCATGACATATATATATATATATATATATAATACTTCATTATTATCTTTTCTAGCCAATCCAATTTTATTTTTTCTGCAGTTGCACACATCTGTTATTCACTATCCACCTTCCATGCATTAGTATTACTGTCTTTCTGTCTGCTTCAAAGTACTTTCCACACCTTTGTGCTCTAATGTGAAGAAGTCAACCTAATTCAAGCCATCAGAGTGCTTATACAGACAACACTCTAGTTCAGATACTTACTCTGTTCCGATGAGCATTGATTGATGCATAACGAACTGTCCCTCGAAAGCCTGCCACAGCTCGAGGCTACAACAAAACCAAAAAAGAATAATAAATGAGCTTCAAATAGCAAAAGATTCAGTACACTTGAGCCCATAAAGTAGATGTGAGAAATATGTGCATTACTGCCATAGTAAAGGACTATTTAAAATTCTAACTTTCTATTGTGAAATTATAGAAAATTCGAGATATTAAAATAGTAATAACATTTTAGTTATCAGTAAGTCCTAGTTTTCTACCTACATTTAAAAATAAAATGGCATTTATAACAAATAAATTCTGTCTATTAGAAAACATCAAATAGAATCATGTTAAGCATTATAGTATACAGACAAACATTCAGGCTCTGATTACAAATAAGCATATTAAGACCATGAGGAATCTCTGAGAAATCTAAGATGCCAACCTCTTCATGTCTTGGTTATTTCATTCAAACTCAACTCAAAGGTGGTGGCAACTTGTATCCCTTCCTATATATGCAATTCATATATTCATAAATTCAAGTTAATGAGTACTTACTATGAGCCAGGTACTGGGAATAAATCCAAACATGAATAATACATGATCTAAGTTCTCAAAGAACTCAACTCAGGATAAAGTCCAAACTTTTCTTACAGCCTACAAGACATTCTATGACCTGGCACTGTCCTCATTCCAAAATGGATTTATTTGTGGGTTCTCTTACTGAAGAGACTGACATTCCAACTGAAGAGACTAGCAAGTGCAATTCTCCCAGATAGATTCTAGCCAAGACAAGCCCAGGAGACTTTCCAGTTAAGAGTACCCTTGGCGTGGCTCTGACCTTACTTCTGCTATTGGGAAGGTTGAAATATAAGTAAAGAGAGATCAGCTGTTTAGAGAGGTATTTTTTTTTGTTTTGCTTTGTTTTTATGGGAAAGCAAAAGTTTATTGAAGGAGAGACTAAAGCTCCCGCTGCAGTGAGAGGGATCCCAAACAAGTAGCCCTAAAGAGATCTTGAGGTGACTCATCAAAGAAATAATACCAGGTCAACAAAATTCAGCTACCTTATATAATGCAGAAAAGACAAGACCAATTTGGGGAAAACAACTATATATGCAAATAATTCTAATTCAAAGCAGATTAAGACATCATTAGCAAAGTACAATGAGCTATGAAAACCAAGAAGTGGTAAGGATTAGTTCCATTTGGTGGAAAGGAAGAAGGAAAAGTCTTAAGAATAAGGTAACTTTTAACTGGGCCTTGGCATAGGTGATCTCTTGAAACTTCCCTAACTGGTGACAATTTGGCTGATAGCTATGAAAGTTACAAATGCAAACATTCTTTCTGACCTGGCAATTTCACTTCTAGAAATTTATCTTACAAATATATTTGCATATGTGCAAAAATAGTGAATGTACAAATTCATCCACTACACTGGTGTTTATGATAGCAAAAGACCAGAAGTCACCTAAATGTTCATCAATAGGGGACTGACTAAATTACAGTACATCCATTCACATAATGGAATACACTTTGTAATTACAAGAAAAGAATGAAGAAGCTCTATATCCTATATGGAAAGATATAGCTATACTGGTAAGTGAAAAAAAAAGTGCAGAATGTACATCATGCTACCTTTTGAATCAAAAAGGGAAAAATGAGAATATACATTCATATTTATTGTATATGCATAAAGAAATTCTGGAAGAATAAATTAAGGAGCTAATAATGATAATAGCTACCTAAGGATGGAGGGACGAGGGAGAGAGGAAAAGAGTGGATTTGGAAGAGGGGTGAAATGGAGAGTTGTTTCACTTTTTACCTTTTAATTTTTTAAAAGAAAGATTTATTGAAGCATAATTTACATACAGTAAAATTCATACTTTAGGTATACACAGTTCTCTAAGTTTTGACAAAGATATATAGTCATGTAGCTACCACTGCAATCAAGATACAGAATATTTCTATCATTCTAAGTGCCCCTCCATGCCCTTTGTAGTCAATCCCTTCCCCTCCACTCCCAGTCTCTGGCAACCTCTGATTTCTGTCCATCACTACTCTTAGAAGTGCCTGGGGGTTTTTTTGGTTTAACCATTCTAATTACAGTGTAGTAATATCTCACTGTGGTTTGAATTTGCATTTCCCTGATAACTAAAGATGCTCAGCATTTGTTAATATACTTATTTGCCATCTGTAGTATCTCTTCTTTGATCAAATGTCTATTCAAAACTTTTGCTCATTTCTTTTTCTTTTAATTAGTGAGTTGTAAAAATTTATTATAGATTCTTGATATAAGTCCTTTGTGTGTTTTGCAAATATTTTTCCCAGTCTGTGACTTGATTTTTCATTTGCTTAACCGTGTCTTTCAAAGAGCACGGTGTTAATTTTTTTTTAATTTACTGATTTTAGAGAGAGAAAAGGAAGGAGAGAGAGAGAGAAAAACATCAGTTTGTTGTTCCACTTATTTATGCATTCACTGGTTGACTCTTGTATGTGCCCTGACTAGGGATCGAACCTGCAACCTTTGTGTATTGGGACAACACTCTAACCAACTGAGCTACCTAGCCAGGACAAGTATAAATTTTGATGAATTGTTAGTTCTTTTATTTTTGCAACATATGAATACAGTATTATCTTTTCCAAAATTATATTTAAAAACATCTTTAGAGAAAAAAAGTAAAACATGAGAGTGGTTAAAAACCTAAGAGTGTACTTTATTAAAATAAATACCTAGATATTTGAGTGAAAATTTAAAAAAAGAAAAAGTATATTGTGCCTAGAAGAACTGACAGAATTACAACAGGAAGAAGAAAATGCATTTTAAGTAAAAAGAACACAATGAACAATGCCAAAAGGGAGGAAAGTACTGTAGTGTTAGGGAAAAGAGTTTGGTATAGTTGAAGCAAATGGTAAGAGAAAATAATGAAAACATAGGTTGGAATCAGATTAAGGATGGCCTTGAATGTCATAGTAAATTGTTTAATTTATAATGTGCAGTCAAATGGAATTCATCAAAAAATTTTAAGTATGGAAGTGATATGATTGAGAAAGTGCTTGGCATGGTTACTCTGCTGGAAGTATAAACGATAGATGGAAAGGAGAGGGTAAGGAGATCGGTGAGGAAACTATTTTAATCAAACAAGAAATCAGGACACCTGTACAAGGACAGACGCAGTATGAATGTGAAGAAGGGGATGCATGTTAGAGACAGAATGAGCTCCCAGAAGAATAAATCTGGAAGGAGAAAGGAAGGACTCTAGGCATGAGCCTGGATTTACTGCTAATCAAAGGGAGCAGATTGGGGGTGGGGAGAGATGGCATGAAGAACTTTGTAATAAAACCCCCAGGGGAAATAAGAAAATACACGGTGTCCCTTAAAAATGTATACACACTTTAACAGCTGATAACTCAATTTTGAAAATGAACTGTATGTTAATAAATACTGACTTAATAATCATTCACAGTGTGTACACATTTTGGGGGGACATCCTGTAGTTGAAATTCTGGAAAGGTAACAGAGAAAAAGACTTTAAAAATTGTTCTTAATTAGGTCACTACAGCCCTAGGCACTGGAAGTTTCAGCTGAATGGTTAGGAAGGAGAAAGCATGGCATTCCAAGAGCTTAGACACAAAGGGCCAATGTGAGATGCCAGCTGAAGCGCTAAGGAAACTGGGGCATGCTTTAAACCAGGAGAGAAAAAAGAGGCATGCTGAATGGAATCATTAAGCAAATAGAAATTCAACTCTGAAACTGTATGGATCAAAGCATCTTTGTACCTCACATCCCTATTTAATGTAACTAATATATCTTAAAGGTGATAAATAATAGAGGATCTCAAAGCCAACCACATAAACAACTCACTAATGTCACAGAAACAATCCATCATTCTGTTTGTAATGCATGCTGACTGATGATCCATATCATAAGTTTGGTAGATAAATACACATTACGTTTTGTTGTGTGTTTTTTAAAATATATCTTTATTGATTTCAGAGAGAAGAAGGGAGAGGGAGAGAGAGAGATAGAAACATCAATGATGAGAGAGTCACTGATCGGCTGCAGCCCACAACCCGGGCATGTGCCCTGACTGGGAATCGAACCCCGATCTCCTGGATCCTAGATCGATGCTCAACCGCTGAGCCACACCCGGCCGAGCCACATTACATTTTGAAGGCATTTCTTTGTGGTAATGAAAGAGTTTTGTATCCTGATTGCAGTGTTGGTTATCTATATAAGTAATAAAATTTCAGATACCACTCCCCCTACTCCTAAGAAAAAAGGTGTGTAAAAAATAGTAAAATCTGATTCAGGGCTGTACTTGAGTTAGTAATAGTACACCAGTATCAATTTCCTAGTTTTGACAATGTACTACTATGACTATCTAAGATCTATCACTGGGGGAAGCTAGGCGAAAGACACATGGTAACTGTAGTATTTTACAAAACTCCCTGAATCTGCTCCATACTCTGAACAACTACCCTTGGGTCTACAGAAGAGAGAAGAAAGCAAAGCAAGGGATTGGTTAATGCAAAATTAAGAATGGAGTTTGTCTAGGGCTGTAATGGCCAATATAATAGCAACTTCAAACTAAATGAAATTTGAAATTGAGTTCCTTCTTTGCTCCGGTCACAATTCAAGTGCTCATATGGCTAGTGGCTATCATATCGGACAGTGCAGACACAGAACATTTCCATCTTCATAGTAAGTTCTGTTGGATGGTGCTGCTAGAGGAAGGAAAAGGGATGCCATCAGGAAAGGACCATAGCATGCTTCTAAGGTGGGATGAGCTATTTCTTAACCTAGATGGAGGCCATGGATGTCTTAATATTCTTACTTGAGATTTATATATGTGTTTTTTACACTCTTTTAGAATATATATGGCAAGATAAAAAAACCACACAAAATATTGGTTACCCGTGTCCACTTATTCTGCCTTTTCCCCAGTTACAATGGGAAAGTGTTCTTGCTCTTACATAATGGGCTAACCTCACCATTGTGCCAGGATTTCTTCCCCTGCCAGCCAGAAAGAACTTGGCTCCTATAATTGTTCCTGCTCTGTCCTACA